ATTTTTAGTTTTAGATTTTGCATGGTGGATGTTGTAAACTTCTGGAGTGAAGCAAACTCATGTGTTCCTTTATTATTTATAAAGTTGCATAAGAATATGCAAATGAAAACAGGTCTTTTAACTTAACAATATCATAGAATGTCTGTGTAGTTGAGGGAGAAGAAAAAATGTCTGTGTAGTTGAGGGAGAAGAAGCCCCTAATTTGAATGGAGTAATTTGGGATGCTTTTGTGTTTAAAATGCAGGAACACTGTTGCAATAACAAGTCACTGTTTTATTGCAGTTTTAAGTTCAGATGTGCTTTTGTAGAGTCAGGTCACTGCAAGTAGTGGCTGACTCCTCGAGTATCAGAGAAGTTTTGTGAGGCTGTCAAAGAATTAAAGAGTAGTGGAGGCTGGAAGGTGCCTCCAGAGATAATTAGTCCACCCCCATGCCAAGAGCAGGTTTGAGTGGAGCAGATGCTCAAGACCACACCAGCCAGGTTTTGAGTATCTACAAGGATGGAGACTTCACACCTTCTATGAGAGACATGTTTCACCAACCTCATGGGAAGAAAAGTTGGGGTTTTTCTTGTGTTTAAGTGGAGTTTCCTGTATTTGTTTGTGCCTACTCCTCTTGTCCTTTCTTTGGCCTCTCTTGAGTTTGACTGTTGTCTTTACTCCCTCCATCAGATTTTTATAAACATTGGTGAGATCCTCCTGAGCTTTCTCTTCCCCAGGCTGAGAATCCCAGCTTTCTCAACCTCTCCTCCTATCCCAGATGCTCCAACCCCTTTGTTATCTTTGTGGCCCTTTGCTGCCATCCCCCCAGTATGTCCGTGTCTCTCTTGCCGTGGGAAGCCCAGAGCTGGGCACAGCACTCTGGGGTGTCTGCCCAGTGCTGAGCAGAGGGCTGGTGACCCTCCTGATGGTCATGGACTGCCCTGGGATTAATTGTAAGTTCGGTAATTAAAGCTGTGACAAAGGTTTTTGTAGTAGATTTTTTGCATGACAGATTCAGCCCTGGTTGCCTAAAATCCATATGCTTTTAGGGTTAAGTTGTTTCAGTGGGGTATACCTTGCACGCTTTTGCCCCGTGGCTGTGAATCTTGCATACAACCCAAGGGTAGATTTTCCTCTGTGCTGGGCTTGTTTTGGTGTGCCTTCATTGACTTAAGGGAATTACTCTCTTAGTATCCATTAGGGTGAGTGACAGCTCTCAGTAGCAGATGCTGATCCCAACAGCACCAAGCTGCATTTTTTACAGGAACAGGTCACATGCTCCAGGAATTGCAATGAGGAAGCACATGGATGTCGTTCTAAGCAGTGTGGTGGTGATTTTTTTTGCTTTGCTTAGTATCCTTGAAGGTCCTGCAGCCAGCAGCTTTTCCCAAGGGTCGTTTCTATCCTTTGCTGTAGTTGTTGACTTGCACTTATGTCCGTATTTGGAGTTACCTTCAAACAAATGAAAGACAGTAGAAGTCTTGGAATGTGGTACTTGCTTGATTAGAAACTGAATGTGTGTGAGCTGTCTCTCTTTGTCAGATCTTACATTCCCAGGATTTTTCCTTTTGCTTTCTATACTTTATTGGGAAAAGGAAGCTCTTTTTTTTCCTGAATATTTTGCATTTTCACTTAGGAAGAACCTCTGAAAAGGTTTAAATTCACTACTCTTCTCTACCTTCAGGTACAACATTGGATGGACCAAAATTAAGAAAATTAACAAAATTTCATAATGTTGTACTACCTTGCAGAGTTTGTGTCAGAAACTATTCTGTATCACTACCAGTTTGAAAAAATAAATGAGCTTGCATGGTACTCCATGCTGTTTGAAATTAGATGGTTTTCAAGAGAATTAAGTCTTTTGTAGCAGACTCAGTTAGTGTATTTTGAAGATTGTATTTCATAAACCAGCATGAAGTATGGTTTTGCTTTTCAACTAGGAAATTAAAACCACACCAGTTTAACTGGCAGCTTTCTCAGTCACATTATGCATTGAATGCTGTGTGGTACATACTAATATCAATATATTTGTCAGGAAAAAAGAAGAGAGAACGGAGTAGCTACTCCCTTAACTGTGTGAAATCCCTGAGCATATAATGACTTCTGTGAGATTTCTTACTGTGTTGACAAACCTTTCTATGTACTACAGCCCTTCATTATTCCTATATGCATAATTATTTATGTGGCATGAACTCCTGGTATCTTTTATCAGCATTTCCCCTCAGAGTATTTCTTAAAAAATGCTGGTAGAAGTTGATTCTGAAGACACAAAGCCTGGCACTTACTGCTGTGCAAAGTTCAAAATATCCCCATGTATGTATGTAAATACAGGAGTGTGGAAAGCTAATGCCCTTTTCATTGTTGAGAAGGGCAAGCTGTCTGTTGTAAAGTCCTACTTTTCCTGGGCAGCCTTTGGCTATCTACTTTATGATTGGTGGGACAGTTCATCAGTGTGTTTGTAAGAGATGTTAGAAATTCTGTGCAGTGATGCAAGTAGTATCTTGTGCTTTTTATTTCCCTAGTTTGGTCATTTATGAAGCCAGCATGGTAGTCCTCCTGCAGGTGCTCTGAAGAGGATGAGAGTCTGGGTGGCCTTGAATGATTTGATGCTGTTTGGAGAACTCAACGCCTCTTTTGTGCCTGCAAATTCCAGTGGCTGAGGGTCTCCCTAGTAGGACTTTCCTCTTTTTGACTGCGTATCTCAGGATGGCTGAGTAGGTGTTTCAGTGGGTCTGAAGGCGAGATGGGGTCAATTCCTACTTGAATCTTGGCCTAGGAGGCTTCCTTGAGTCCACCTAAAAGTCATTTAGTTTCCCTGAGGCTCTGTCATGATGCAGGGGTGAAGCTGCAGGATCTTACCCTGATTGTCCTGGCTACCTCAGCCAGTTCTCCATCCTGTGGGACAAATGGCAATAAGTTTTTGTACAAACTTTGGTCACCTCAGTGTAAGCAGCTTTTGGAACACATTAGATACTGAGTGTGCTGTTTGTATATGTTGTCACATTTTAAGACTGCCCTGAACTGTAGCAGGCAAGTTTTTGAATCAGCTCTCTTGTCTGTCTAGTAAATATTACTGCAGTTGTCATGGGGAGGAAAAGGCTAGTATAATTATCCTAGCAGTTTTCTAGTCAAGATAAATTTCATTTTTCATTCATTTCCTCTCCACTGTGCTACAGTGCTAAGAAAAGAATTAGAAGATTTAAGCACAAACAAGTGTTACTGATGCTCTACATCACCTCGGATGTAGAGTTCATGGGAACTTATTCCAAGTTTCTCCAACACATGGTGTCAGCACCTCTCTGTGCTGCAGGCAAAATCTGAGCTTTTATAATGGTTGTCATATTAAACAACTGGGAGGATGTTTACAGAAAACTGTCAGAAAAAAGGAAGAAAATTGTTGTCTTCATGTGAAGATTAGACTCATGCATGAGCATCCTCTGATAGTAAGTTATGGGGATTCTGTCTCACTTCCTTTGCTGCCTTAACTGGAAAAGCATCTATTCCTGTGTGTTATTTCTAACAAAAGTCTCTGTATTCATCATTCCCCCTTTGCAAGACAGTCTGCTGCTTGCCATTCCCAGTAGTGGTGCAGAGATGCCGCACAGTGGGTTGAAAAGTTTCCTATTATTGAAAAGTTTCCTATTATTTGCTTTGCTTGTAGCCTCTTATTCCATTGGTTTAAGAGAATCAAGCAAGTGACCTCAGTTTGCTTCACAGCAATTAATTGTCTTAAGATGATTCATGCATTATTAGCACTAAAATGGTGATATCCTGTAATCTGTGTCAGAGGTGTATATTTAACATCGGAAGGATTCTTTTGGGTGCTTGACCTGGAGGGGGAGAGTTTTTTCCTGGAGCCTCTAGTGACAACAGGGCACTGCTTCCAGATTCCAGGGGCTGGAGAGAGGCATGGGGCATTAAACTGGTAGTGGTAAGGGAGAAACTGATCTAAACTGTGCAGTAGGAAACATCTCTTGTCTGTGCTTAAGGGTAAGTTCTGTTGTGGGTACTTGCTTGGTGTCATTGTTCTCGTGTTTGGGATAGGACTTTCAAAAGTGATAGATTTCTCTTCTTAAACTAATATTGCAGCAGGTAATTGTTGACTGAAATGGGCAATAATCAAGCTGCAGTTGTGTGCACAGGCCGTGTCTGATTAAGCTTCGTGTTCTACAGCAGTTGTTCCTGTATTTGTTAGTTGGCTGTTTGGAGAGCTTTAGCTGCTCCCAAACTTGGAAGAGATGTATGAGATTCCTGAATGCTGGCACAACATAAGCATCATAATATAATTTTTCTTTTCATAATTGTTTCTCTTTGTTCATTGGAAGTACAGCTTGTAGGGCAAAATAAAAAGGAGACATTTCCATCAGACGGCAAAGGAGGTGAAACAAGTGATCCTGGCAGGGTACAGCGTACATGCTGTGGTTCACTTAAAATATTGTGACCGCTAAAGTTTCATTCACGTCTCTGCCTAAGTTAACGAAACTGAAACTATTAATAGGTATACCTGACCATAACAGTATCAGTGCAGACCTGTGCAGTGCACCCTTCTGCCCTCTGTTCTGCTTGCAAGTGTTGGATGAAGTGCTGCACAAACAACTTCTTGTAATACCAGCTTCCCTCCCCCTCACTTTTCTTTTTCTCATGTAAAAATCCTAAAGGGTACCTTGAGTCTGTTAGAAACACTTCAAATGTTTGTTCCAAAACAATGTATTTTATGGTTTAAAAACTTCCCTTCTTCTCTCTTCACTTCTTCCACTGCTGTGTGATGATGCAGCAGGCAACATAGACCTGTTCTTTTATGAAGCCACTTACACAGACATAAAATGTTCCCTTTGTCATGTTTTTAAGCTCACTGAGAGCCAATGTCTGTTTAGTTACCTGGAACACTTTTTACAGAATGTGTCTGGTTAGCAGAAGACACCTTGAAAAAAGGAGATTACATGTGTCAAAGCTTTTTCTTGTTACAGGAAGAGTGGTAACATGATTCTGCGTATCTCTGCCCATCTTTCTGCCTTTGCAGCATCCCTCTTGTTGATTTGCTAGACAGCACGGAGCTGCCAGAATCCTGTGTTGATGATGCCATTGGCCATCCGGTTGTTGGCTTGGCTACAGGAGATTCAGAAGAGGCTGTTAGTTGCCCTCATCCTGGCACGAAGGAAGCTGCTGCTGAGAAAGCAGACTCTGATTGTAAGCAAATTTACCGTTTTTTTCGTATTATGGTGTGTGGGGTCAAAGGTGAATAGTTAGGTTGCTATGAGATTGTTTCCTTACAGAAGTGCAGAACTGTTCTGGGAAGCTCCCTTAGGTTATATGCTTAAGGACAGTTTTACCCACCACTGGGACAACAAAGCTCATTTACAAGGACGGAGATACATAGGAAGAGTCAGATCTTTGTTGGATCTGACTTTAGCCACAAATACAGTGAAGTGCAGCCATAGAAGCAATTAAGTCTGTGTGCTTGCTCATTCCCTGTAAGGATGGCTGGGTAAATGAACTCACAGGAGTGCAGAGCACTGTGATTAGGTACACGCGCTCTGTAGGACTGAAACTTGCACTGAAGCCTGAGCAAGTAGGTAGATTCTCCCATCCCTGTGCTTTTTTGCACAACTTCAAACCCACGTAAGTAGTATTCAGGAAGAATGCACGTTACAAGGCAAATAATTCCACAGTAACATTAGGAAGATTATATTTTTTCCATCTTTTTCAGCATTTGAAGACACATTCCTAAAACTGAAACAGCTGGAGACAGAGCGCAGCAGCCCCTTGCCAACTGAGCGTCCCAACGTAAACATAAACATCCAGGTACTTGGGCTTCATTCCCCCTGGCACAGTCACTGGGTTTTGTTCAGATCATTCTGAAAAGTCTTTCACTTGCCTTGGTCTGTTTGCAGAATTTTAAAGAATATGAGTGAGTAATATTGGGTGATAGTAAAGGAAATGCAACTGTTTTATTTTATATAAACCTATGTGTGACAGGGCAGATAAAGATAGGGGGCAGAGGTGCATGTATGCAGACTGCAGCCTGGTGAAATTTTCTGAAATCAATGGGAGTAAAAGGCATAGATGTTTTTCAGTTGTCTTTATCTGGTTACTATCTGTATGGTGTTGTGTAGTCCACCCTCTTTTTGAAAGGGGTGAGCTGCTTTCCTGGCATTTTTCAGTTGCCTTAGGTAACCCTCCCAGAAGGTTTTCTTGAGGTGTTGTTTTGAGTCAAGTTTGCTGATGATCCATCCCTCCTGTTAAGTAACCAGTCTGTACCTGCTCTCTGAAGTGGGTGTTAGTGCTCTCTGTGTTTACATAGAGAAGAGTGATGTGGTTTGATTAAGTGCTCTCAAATCCTTCTGAGCAAGTCAGGCTGCACTTTCACAGGCAGCTGAGCCAAAGTACAAGCTTCAATGCCCTGAACAAGGTGAAGTCACTCTTCTTGCTCCCTCCCTCCCCCACTTCCCCTCCCCTCTGTTCCTTCCAGGAATCACTGCATGTTTCAGTGAACAAATGTAGCCTACAAATGGCAAACAATATTTTTGTAGCTGTCTTTGTTTTCAACTTTTTGTTAAGGTGTTGGATTTCTTTAGGATTTTGGTTTGTTTTTTAAGTTGGTAAATAGTGAGTCAAATAGGTTCATAGAAGGGGTCAAGGGAATGCCAGAGCCATAGTGAAAATAAGCAGTGTTGCTAGAAGGGGTGGAGAGGACAGGATCCTCCTTTACAACAGCACTGAACTCTGATACATTTACTGGTTATCAGACAAATGCACCCAGACAGGATATTTTTCTGGGGTTTTTTAATGAGCTTTAAAAAAATACGGAAATTAGATTTCCCTTACTCTGCTTTCCCCAGTGTTAAAGCTGTAGATGCTTTATCGTATTCTGGGCAAGCAGAGAGAGTAAAACACCTGGTACTGTTATCTCTTTTTGGGCTACCCTCCCTTCCAGGGAAGCCTGAGGATTTATCTAACTTTCAGGGAAGCAGCAATGATTTTTCTTGCTCCCTCAAGAGTAAAAGGAACCAGGTGCCAAGAGAGATGTTTAGCAGTATGTGTTTGAGCTAAGCCCATTCCTAAGCATTTGTTCTCCACCTTGGTGTGAGAGAAGGCTTCTGTGGGTGGTGCTGCAGGCTCTTTGGCTCATGTCCCCTTTAAGGACTGCTGTCAGGGATGCCTTGTGCACCTCTCTGCTTGGTGAGTGCATTACAAAGATTATCAGGTCTGTAAGAAGATTAGTCAGTAGCCTCTAGGTCCTGTTATGCTGAAACACCACTTCTGCATAAACTAAAGCAAATGAACACAGCTTATTTAAGAATATTTTGGCCTGCTGAGCTCTGCTTTAGTTCAGACAGAGAGGGGAGAAATGTAAAATTGGTTAATTGGAGAGACCAGAGCAAAACTCTCTCAATGGTTTTTGAATTGTAGCTGATACATAGTAAGCAAGCTAAGATGCCTGTAATGAGCTAATCTTACAAACAGCTGCCAATTCAGTATAGTCACAGCTATCCAGCTGCTGTCTTATGAGGTGCTGAGTAACTTCAGAGGTTACAGATAGTGGGGTGGTAGCAACCTGATTAGAGAGCCAGAACATTTGCATAGCAGGGAATTACATGAGGTGTGGATCAGCAGTGTGCCAGTGTGGTTCCTTCATTGGGTAAAAGAGACTTCGGATTTCAAGAAGGAAGTGCAAATTGAATTAAGAAAACATAAGAGTAGATCATCAGTGTTTTTTCTAGGGTAGAAGAGATTGAATAAAAATTTTCAGGCTATGATGTAGCTGACCAAGAGGTCATTTGAGAGTGGTTGTTTAAAAAAGATAGACACAGATTAGATACTCTCCACATACTTTAAATTCTCTGTGCTTCAAATTGCAAAGACATGTAGGTTACAGTAGCACCAAACGAGCACACCCTTGAGAGAAGAAGGTTAATAGTTTGGAAATGAGTCTTGAAAAGAGTCACCTAAGAATAAGAATTAAAAACACTTTTCCTGCCTTTGAAGGCTGTTTTAGAAAAAAATATAAATTTCCACTTATGGTGTTTGTTGCAAAATGTATTTATTGGCTCTTCTCCTGTACTTACTTTTGTTGTTAATCTATTAATAAAAGAGGTGTTTGTGGTATCCTCTTCAGACTGAACTGCATGGGACTGCAATATAGCCACTAAAGCCTTGCAATAAGCTTAAATCCTGTAGCTTGCTGTTACTTCAGAGGAATGCAGTGTTCTCTCTGAAAGCGTGTGATTACAAATTTCAGTATGTCTCAGCTTCTTGAAGTTTAAGAATGTATAAGATACTGACTTATGTAAAAATAGTTACAGAATGTAAGAGGTTTGGTAAAATGCATTTGGGGGAAAGCTTCATCTTTCTGCTTATGAAGGTAGAGCTGCATCCTGAACTTCATGACACTCATATGCCAATAAAGTACTCATTTAAACCTTGTTAATGAAAAATCTTTAACTGTCTTCCATCAGTGGTCAGAGATAGCCTGATAGTCATCTTTATGTAATTCTATACTTGCACTCAATCAATTTTGGTTGATTCTTTTGACAGGGAAATATTTATCTAGCTATCCCTGTTCTTCAAGGGAAAAAGAGAAATCTTTCCAGAATGAGAACTGGGAAGGGGGAATGAATAGCTTCATTCTTCACTGCTGCTCACTGCCAAAATCTGTTGGGATGGAAGAATGCAACTTTGTCCTTTCCCAGCTTTCACCAGTGCAGTGACCAGATCTGACAAAAGGGAGCAAATAGTTTTAAATACACTAGTGCACTGCTTTCATCAGCTTCTGAAGTGAAATGAACAATAAAAAGTTCACCCTGTTTGCCCGTGTTCAAAGTCTGCTCCAGAGTCAGAAATGCAAGGACATGAGCATTCACTTTTTCTGAATTTGTTGTGATCTGTTAATACACGGAAGTTGCTCCAAAATGTGCCTGTATTAGACTCCATCTTCCTGCACAAAGTTATTTTCAGTGGCACTAGGAACACTGCTCAAAAGCAGAAAGTATTAGAATCACATGCCTTGCTGCTGCCTTTAATCTTTGCTTCCCTTTTTATATCACTGCCTAGCTCCATATTTTGATTGGAGAATGTGGTTTGTCTAGTCCATGGAAACAACAAACATTTGTAACAAGCTAGAATAATGACAAACCCCAACAGATTTCCTGTTTTGTGTGAACAACTTAAGTCTCTTGTAATTTAAACATCTTGAGGCTTTATCAGCTGCTGCTTTTCCCTGTAGCTACATGTTTTTTCAAGCACAAAATAGAAAGGCTTGAGAAAAATGGATCATTAATATTGATGCAAATATTTCTGTAGTGGTATGAAACTTACACTCAATTACATTAAAATAATAGTACTAAACTTTTCAAAAGTAAGGAATCTAATTGTTAATAGACTGGAGTGGCCTCATGACATTGATTGTTAAGGTGGAGGAAGCTGAGAGGAAGCTAAACAACAAAATGGTACTTCAGGCACCAGTGTACTGATGTGTTCAGTTGAAATTATGAGCTTTACTGTGTTAGTGGAATAATGCATTTGAAATTCTGTGCAGGAACTGTTACTTACAGAATCTGGTTCAGTGAGGTCCCATGTAGGGATTTAAGCGTTATCACAGTTGGTTACTGTGACTGTACAAATAATTTGGTTGTAGTTATTCCAGACTTTTGGCAATTCCAGCAGGTTCTCTAAAATAAAAACACTTACATGTGTAATAATTGTTAATCTTCATGAATTATGTGAATGCATCTCTTAGTATCTGCCAGCAATAATCATCAGCAGCAATTGGTTGTTGGTCCTCATACCCTTTTATGTTGGCACTGACCCTTGAATATTTTGCAAAGTTCATTGCTGACTAGGGTCAAATTTAAAATGAATTCTCCTTTAGATAGTCTCCTAAAATCCTATTTGGATATTCTGAAACGTGATTTAAAGGAAGACAAGAAAAGGAAATGCTTTTCCCCTCTCTAAAGACTAAATTACCTACAAGTTCACACCAGTGTTTCCACTGAATGATAAAAGCTGAAAGTGGATGGAGAGCTGTGGGGGGACTGGTATTCATCTCAAATTTTTAACTTCTCTCACCTGCTCTCTATGCAATGGGCTTTGTTCCTTCTGGACGTGCTGCAGTTGGTGCAAGTAGGAGTGCAGCAGGATTGTCCCTGCTCCCTTGCCTCTAGGGAAGAGCCTGCCTAGACAGTGGCATATGGTGAGGAAAGCAGGACTCTGTCTCCCCCTGCTGAGTCATACCCTGAGAAGGAAGGTCACAAGGTTTAGTTTTCACTCAGTTAATTAACTTCTGCCACTAATCAAATAGCAATTAGTAGATTGAATGCTTAATTAACATTTTATAATTAAGAAATACAATTCAGATAATGAAATATACTGTAGTGAAAGGTATCTCATTTTTAGTTGACTTCATTATGTATCTGGCTGCCAGTGTGTTCTGATATAATCAGTGGTGGGAGAGGTAGCTAATAGCACATTGTTAAACTGTTCTAATTTATAAGTGGATTTTAAAGTAAAAATCTCTCCAATTTAAATTCCAGAGTAAATTATCAACTTTTACTTAGGCTGTAGTGATATGGTATATAATGGCTGCTATATTGATCTCCTATCAGTAAACTAAGCTGCAGTTTTAGGATCTAATTCATTTCTTGCACGCTGTATTCTTAGCACAGCATTTTTTATCTCTGTGTTTAAGCATTGTGCCTTTTTTACTTTGTGTTGCTGTGACTTTACAGTTGAGTTCCAAAATAAAGGAAAACATTTGCCTCCTTTTCAATATAAATCTGCTGACTTTCTTCTCACTCAGAGCCCTGTTGTTATTTAGAGATGTTGATAAACTTCAGCCCAGACATTTTCATGTGGGAACTGCTTCTAATAAAGATCTTTCTCCTGTCTAGGATGAAGTGGTGAAGTTGACAGATAAATGTCTTAACAATGCAATTGAGAGCCCAATAATAGCAGCGAAGTGGCTTCCAGATCTCAAAAGCAATATCCTGAAGGCCCAGGCAGAAGCAGGTCACAAGGTAAATACTCAGCTGAATAGCACTGTGATGCTCTCAAATATTTTATTTCCCTTTAGTTGCCTGATGTTGGAGAAGGTGCTTGTAGATGAGGGTGTCCCAAGAGCCTTGTCCAAGGCAGAGTCAGAAAGCTTTTCAGCCTTTCTTCACAGTGACAGTGGTCCTGTACTGGAACTGTTGCCCAAGGAGGAATCTCCATTCTTGATGATACTCTAAAAGTAACTGGACGAGACTTTCAGCAAGCCCTGGTTTGAGTGGTTACTGAGCCGGATAACCTCCAAGGGTTGCCTTCTAACCCTTGCCTTCTAACTGTGCTTCTTACATGTTGTAGTAAATTCTTTACCAAATAATGGTATTTTATTTGGCTATCTTGGTGAATTATTTTTATGTCTACTCTGAAGTTTTCACATAGAACTGATGTTTTAAGTCCCTGAGCTGTAGATGAACAGGACATTTTTGTGCTGGGACAGAGACACTCAGCTCTACTGTGAATCTCAGAACAGACACAAGATGGAAACAGCTATCAGAAATATATGTCTGTGTTCATTTCTTCCTCTTAGGTTATAAAAGATGACAGCATGACAGGTGTCAAGAATTCTAATATTCAGGATGCTGCTGCCAGGTACTGAACAGATTTGGAAGAAACATGTGATGTAGCTACCCAAGTACAACACTGAGAACCTGCAGTTTAGTACTGTCTGTCAGTGGCTCTGTAATAGTTACATTTTATCTTTGAATGTGTAGTTTTATTATATACAAGCTAATGCAGATGCTCTTTATTCTCCCATGCTTTAATTTGATGAACATGGTTGCAACATCAATCACTGTAGTTATTTCTGACATGTGAATAGCTTCAGCGTGGAGAGAGGGGGTGGGTCTGCTTTCCATAGCTTTTTTGTAGTGGAGAAGAGAAGATTGTGTACAAACCCTTGACACTGATAGTTGCTTTCCTGAGAATTACTAAATCCCAAATGATTGCTGCGTCCAGTGGAATTGCAGGCATAACTTCAAAGGGTTACAACATCTAATTTCTTGGCCATTTGTGAAGATGCACATGTGAGACCTCTCATGGTCATACTGAACAAAATGTACATGTAGCAATCCTCAAACTATGCTGTAGCAAGTGATTCGTTGAGAGCTTACCGTGGAAGGTAATACCTGGTTGTTGTTTGGTTTGGTTTTTGTTGTTTTGTGCCAGGAACATTCTCCTGTCAGGCAAATCACAGCATAGCCCCCCAGCAACCAGTCCAGGATTTCAAGACCCAAGAGAGCTGCTGAAAGCAATCCCTGCTTCAAACACCTTTGTTCCGTAAGTGATTCTGGAAAAACATGGTTTTGGGGTAAGAGGACCATGTGGAGATTATCATAAACATGTCTGAAAAGATGAGGAACAGTTGCTGAGCATTTAGGCTACATCTAACTAAGCAGGTTTACCGATGCATCCTTAATTACTGTTGCAGCAGTTAATCAGTGTAGGCCAGGCCTTGGGGTGAGCATCCTAGCAAGCAGTAAGAGAATCTCTTTCATCTTCTGAAAGGACTGCGATACCTGACATCCTGCTGCCCCTGGCTCTAAGGAGGAAGATAAGAGGATGACAGGAAAGGCTTCAGGCGAATTAGACATGAGGGCTGAAGAAACTCCTCTGAGATAGAAGACATCGATACTGTTGGGTCTATACACAGCTGTAGCTGAAACTGTGAGAGAGAGAGCAGTAATCTGTGGAGGTAGTTGGAAGGTGTTTAGGTTTACATACCGATATCAGTCTTTTGTCTGCCTCAGTGGAGTTGGTGTTAAGTTTTTGGGCTATCTGGGAAGCACCACTACTTTGTACTACCCAGGCAGGGTGCTAATGAGAATGTTTTGTCCTTTCAGTAATGCATTGAATGAGGACAATGCTGCCTCTAACCACGAGGACCTGCTAAATCCAGCTAATCTGGCTCCGGCTGAGGAGGCTGCTGTTTCAAAGGTATGACCACCTGCCAGCCTGGAAAGTTTCTGTGTCACATTCTGAGCTACTGATGCCTCCAGGCAAGCCTAGCAGACCTTGCCGCATGCCTCTCATAACTCAGTGAATACCAGGTGCCGATGAATGCCAGAGAGTGCTTTCTGGAGCAGGCAGGGACACTGCACAGATCTCTCCAGAGGACATTTCTGCATGTCCTTTCAGGTTCTTGGCCTGAGACTGTATTTTTTCTAAACTGATTGTTTTTCTCACACTGGTGGGAAGCCTCTTACATCCTAATGATTTGATGCTACAGAAAAGAGACCGTAGGGATGAAATTCTGACATAGGCAGTTCCTATCAAAATAGCCACAGAGGGAAAAGTTTAAATTGAAATGTTTAATTGTTATATTCTGGTTCCCTTAACAATAAGCTAATTTTTAACTGGACTCTATGAAATGCACAAAGTAATTCAGGGGTCAACTTTCCTTTGTCCCTCTCCGAGAGAGAAGTGGAGTCCAACAGTGCACTCTGCTATTACTTCAGCAGAGTGATGGTTGTTCTGGATGACTAAAGCACTATGACCTGTAGCTGGTGTGCCTCTAAAGCTGTAGTTGATCCCACTGAAGAATTACCAGTTTGATCTTCTGAGTTCAAATGCTCAGCTCACAGACTTTTCTGACCTTGTGGAATGGTACCGTACCCCACCTTTGGATAGGAGGATGGGACAGTTCCCTGCTTGCTCACAGTGGCAATGACGTTTTTTCTATTACATTGGTGAGAATAACTGAAATTAAAAGGCTATTAAAAAAGCTTACATGGAAAGATTTGAGAAAACAGGCCTGATAAACAGTGGTGTTCAATAAAGACACTGGTCTGTAACTTGGGAAGCCACCAGAGTATTCAGCAGACCTATGTGGTTACTACTGGGAATTCAATTCAAAACTGATTTATTCCATAGAGCACTCCAGATGACCAGGACGTTTCCTTAACATCACTGACAGAGAATCTAATTGACTTTACAGAAGCCACACCTCGGGTAAATGTATTTCAAAACCAAACTTCTTCCTTCACACATACAGTGGATTTTACTCATGAACTCTCCTCTGGCTTTAGTGTCTGTCTGCCAGGCTTGGATCTGCTGCAGTGGAATGAAGTGATGGACCTGGATCACTGCATATATGCCCCCTGCCACTTGCAGGGTGGCTGATGTAGGGGTTTAGACCTTACAGCTTTGTAAGGGAAATGAAGGGACCTGAAGAGTGAACTTGTATCTGTGCCACAGGAACCTCTAATCTTATTTTAGTACACCTGCAAGTGTCAGCCTACTTCTCAGGCTTTTGGGTATACATAACACTTCAGAAAATATATGTAAATGTGTATATACACACAGGCACACACACACATATATATATCTATATGTTTGTGTGTGTATATACACATTTACAAATATACTTGTGAAATGAATACTCAATATTTAAACTTTTAATACAAATCAACCCTTTAATATAGATTTAAAAAAATCTCTTACAATCTCTGCTGGCAAAATGGAGTTATATTGCATGCACCAAAAAAAAAAAAGGGGGAAGAAGTAGAACCTTTAAACTGTGCGCAGAAGTGTGCTCTGGGTTGATATTGTCCACAAAGCACTAAAAAATAATGGGTTCCATGGCCCTTGGGAAGGGAGGGCTGAGCTGACACTACTCCCAGTGTGTCTGTGAGTGAGTAGGATTAGCTGAGTGAGTGCCACACGTGCAGCTCATCACTAGTGTGGTGCAAAGACTAATTAGGGGCAAATATCCAAGATTTGTTTGGGGCAGAAGTGTTGTTTAGGGAGGCAGTGTTATTTTGAGAATGTTCTCTGCTACTTCCAACCTTTTGATTGAGCTTTTGTTTGCTTTTTTGTAGGTGTCTTCCCAGCCCATCATAACACCGAGGTGGTTAGTGCCAGTGAGTTACTTGACCGTTCCTCAGCAACTAAATAAAAAGAGAAAGCTTTTGTCTTCATTAAGAAACAGGAGTTCAAGTAAAATAGTAAAATACAATAATCTGTAATAATTTGAAAACCTATAAAATAATGTACCAGACCAAAAATAAAGCAAACTAATTCAGCTGGAGTAAATCAGACAACATACATGCCCTGTTAATAGTTAAACTTCATTTTTTCTGTATTGCATTGCTGGTAAATACCGTAAAATTTCTTTCAGAATTTGCGTTTAGTGAAGCCCAAACTGGAAGTTGATGAATCTTATTTTTTCCAGTTATAAATAAGTCATATTGAAAAATTAGCTCATCTTTTGTCCTGGCAGGTGCTTATTTCAGTTTCTTGTTTCATTCTCCCTCATTCAGACAGGACTGATTTCCAATGGGCCTTTGGGAAATGATTTTGCCTTATCCATGAAGGCAGCGAAAGGCAGCACAGAGACTCTGTTGTCAGCTGGATTTACACCATCCCAGCAGAATTCCGAAGTCCTTGCAAGGTAAGGTCTCCTCAGCGCTCATTTCGGAAATCTGTTTGGGTTGGGAAGGAAACCTGTGCCCCTGCTGCTTCCACTGGTTGTTTAGACACAGTGCCTTGTTTTGCTGTGCTTATAAACTGTAGTTTGTGTCTCACTTTATAGCATTTGGAATGTTACAAATAAGTAGAACAGTTGATATGTGAATATTATCATTTCAGTTTCTTTCCATATCTGCTAACATGGACTGAAATTATGGTACAGATACATTTTCTGAGAAATCTCTTTACAGTGTTTCAGTACCTGTCAGAGGATTGGTGGGGTTAGAGAGGGATGTCTCCCAGTTTTTTCCAAGCTGTAAAGGTGTCAGAAAACCAAACTGGTAGAAGTCTTCTCCCTTGCTATTCCATTCTGCCACACTGGTGAGGGAGAATGATGGCAGAAATGATCAAACCTTTCAGCAAATGCTCTAAAAGAGTGGCAGTGATGCTACTGCCGCACTGTTTGAATTTGATTCAGTTTGCTCTTCTGCAGTTGTCCATTGGAAAGGTTTGTCCATTGGTCTCATTAAAGTAGGAAAGGAACAGCCATTAATGCTCTTTGGAGCAATACTCACCTTTTTTAATCCATCATAGCAGACCTTTTTGGAGGAATGTATTTACAGAGCCTCATTTTTTTTTCCCCTTTTAGCCCAGTTACTGAAGATGCTACAGTAAGAACAAAATGTTTACTCACCACTGAACTCTAGAAGAAGGATTTTCTGAACTTCTCACCATGTAAAAACTCAAATCTTCTAATGTATCTCCAAGGGATCCTTCCAAAAGACTTGCTTGGGACTCAAACTCATGTTGAATCGGAGTCAAACAGCCATCTGGTTTGCTAGGATCCAGGAAGAGACTCCTACATTTATTGCAATCTAACTGGAATTTCAGTCTAAACCAGGATGTAAAACCACATACATGTTTGATCTTCTCCCTTGGGAGGAGCGAAATGCCACACTGGAGCTGGATCTGAAGTGAGGAACAGAAAACAGCTGTGTTCTGCTCATGCTGGGTTTATTGTTACTTACCCTGTGCTGGCTCTCAGTACGGTTCCTGGAAGGCTCTCACTGCCATGTGGGGTGTGGTGTGAGCTGGGTGACCGCTGCAGAGTGATTGATGTCGCAGAGATTAGGAGAACTCATAGGGCCACCTCGTGGCCGTGCTGTGTACAGGGGCTTACAGTGGTGACTGTTTCATATGGCCAAGGACATTTTCTTCTGTGTAATTATTCCCTCTGTTTGTCCTTTGTTTTACCCACACTTACTCTCCTTTTTGGCCTTAAACACCTTAATAATCCTTGCACCCCTTGTTACAGTATCTGGAAAGCATGAAAATCTAGTCCATCAGTGATAGCTGTGTTGACTGGATTTGAGCTGCTGCTCATTCCAATCAGGAAAAGGAAAACTGACCTGCCAAACAGCTTATAGCATTAGCACACAACAGCAGAGGACCCATGTTTGACACTTGATTATTTTATTTCCTACATGACTGAAATACATCTGTTTTAGGCTAGAGGTATGTATGATTTAAATGCTGAAGCAGGCAAGGTATAAGTACAGCTTACTTCAGGAACTGCTTACTGTTTAGTTTTGTTGTCTTGTAGGACTAGAAAGGAAAACAATTTCTTTGTTTTTCTTCATACTATTTCTGGGTGTTTTTTCCAGATGCTGTGCTTCAGGAATACTTGCCAAGTATTTTTGCAGCACGAGGGTACAACTAGATCGGTTCTTAATGCCATCTTGAATCCTGTTTCAAGTGTCATCTAATAGTTTTATGTGGAACAAAGAATGGAAAGAATAGGGAAAACAGGAAAAAAAGATGAAAAATTCCTGTAAGCGGTTCAGGTCTCACTAGAAGGAAGGTAAGAGCACAGACTCCACAGAGCTGGCAAAGGCCTTTTGGTGCTCTGGTGAAGTCCAGGGTACAGTTGCAAGAGATCATTTGAGCCCTGCGCAGCAATATCCTCACATGGACATGTGAAGGTGAGCACATGGACCCTGGGGATACAGCCTGTGAAAAAGGTCAATGCAGAGTCAGAGGGAGGAGAAATAAAGGTGGTGATGAATTCCACATCTAACAGGGAAGCACAGATGAAACAACTGGGATCTATCTTTCTTTCTTAGGAAGAGGTTTGTACATATGACTGGGGTTGGAGGATGTTTTCTGCATAGTGCTGCTGTTTAAAAATATTTATATGCAGGTGGTTCTTACAAACAAACTTAAATGTGAAAGTTGATTCTGGAACTTGTATGCACAACTTCATTTCTGCCATTGGCTGTGTGCATGTGTCTCAGCATAAACAAAGATTTGGACCAAACCACTATGGGTTGTGCAAGTAAGCTGGTGCCCAGCGAGGCTGCTTCGTTCAGACCAAGGCATTCTTGCTGCTGTTGCTCTTGTGCTCTTCTTTGCAAGATGCTGAGAGTGTTAAGGGAGAAGCCACCTGGATTTTGTGTGGCCCAATGCCACTCCTCAAAACCCCCGAGGCCTTAATAAAGAAATGTAGCAACCAGAGAAAGCTCTTAGGACTGACATACCGGAGTGACTCTCTGCAGACAATGATTTGTAGCCATTGCCTCAAGAATCAGGAGTCAAAATGGGTGGCAGGTGCTGCAGGTTCCCCTCCAGTCAGTACCTGAAGCACTGCACGGGCAGGTCCCCGTGCTGCCAGAGGAGCCTCTGTTCTGGACCAGGCACAGGGTCCTGCTCACCAGCCCTTCAGTTCTGTCATTGCAGCTTATATTTATATTGGTAGTTTATATTGGCTTTTTCTACGCTTTTAAGTCTGAGCCTTATTGCTTATTAAAATGTAGAAGATTCACGATTCAAATATCAAATGTCGTAGTGTGGATTAATAATGCAGTTGCCAGCAAAGTTCCTGCAGGAAAAGGGAAGCTATGGCTGCAACAGTCTGCTTCCTGCACAAAGCCAGGACTGTGTGGGGAAACTTGGCACTAGCTATTGATCTGTTTGCTCAGCAGCTGAGCTGGCATTCACCAGCTACATGTGTTGGGTTTGTAAATAGACAGAATGAAGTAGCATTTTCTTAGGCATGTTTGATATTTGACTCTTCCCATTGGGTTCAGGAGCTCTGCGAACTGTCAGCTTGAATCCCTCCCAAAAGTGGAATAACAGAAGTTTACAGTTTTACAGCACTGCGTGTTGAATACCAGCCTTGGATTCCTCCCGGGCAATCACATACAGCAAATAACAAGTAAATAACGTGTGGTGAGTGTCCCCCCCTAAAATCTAAATGGTACCAAGTAGCCAACTGTTATTTCAGCACAGTTGGGGTAGTGGTGATTGGAGGGGAATGTTGTAATTACACATGTTCACTCACAAATTTCAAAGGGTGAGGCTTTCCTCAATTTTCAGAGGATACTCGTATTTGAAAATTTTTATTTAGAAATTCAAAAATTTCAACTGTTAATTTGGGAACTTGCAATTCCTAATAGATTTGGAGCTAGAAACCCAATTATTTTCAGTGATACCTGATTATACTCAGAGCAAACATTCACTCCATTTAAGTCAATGTAGCTTACTTAGCTAACCCAAATCATTGCTTGTATAGGAAGCCTGGCACAAGACCAAGGTCACAGATTTGTGATCTGAACATGCTGCAATTTGGCATCACTGTTTTGCTTTGAAACTAGAGGTATTGTGTTGTATCATGACTGGCTAGCAGGTAACACAGCATTGCTCAGCACCTGCATCTTATCAGACATAAATAGGGATAATTTTTCCTACAGTTAGTGTTATGAAGTATTAATTAATGCTTTTATGCTACTGAGAAAAAAAGATTTTCTGACCATTGCTATGTTATTGATTGATTGGCTATAGAGTCCAAGCGTTCTCCTAAAGTTTATTTTTTTGTATTCCTTTAAAGAGATTTATAAATAAAACTTTTGTGTGAATCTGGTATCAAGATGTTGGCAGGTCTGCCAACCACTTAAAAGCTCTAAGAGTTGACAGGAATGAATTAATGCATTTTAAGTGATTGGATCTAAAAGTGATTTTACTCCAGTCACACTCCTTAAGTGTTTGGAGTAAAAGGTTTTATAGAAATCTTAACATTTATAGTAACAACACCCCAGCCCATATCTCAAACTGATTAACCTTGGGGAGATGCATTTCAGTCTCACTCATTTAGTCCATCAGCCTGTGTGTGTTTCCAGGCTTTTGAGTATTAATACATGGGAGTTCAGGCCTTCTTACACTGGAAGTAAGGGAATTTCTTCATTAATTAAGTGGTAATGGCATTTAATATCAGGTATATTATATGACATAAAATATCTACTTACCTGGTAATCAGTCATGGCTAATGAATTAGCTGGAATGTGTTTGACTTTGAACTAAAATTCCACTCATACTTTGTCAAAGACAGACAACTGTGTAACAACTACATTTGGGACAATTTTTTGGACACAACTTTGGCAAGAAAATTTGCAGCCCTGTTAAAGGAGCTCAGGTGAACAGTCCAGCTATGTTTGGGTCTCTCGAAACTGTTTCCAGTCCTTACCTACTCTGCCTTTGTCTGCACTCTGCTCATTCTCGTTTCATGAAGCAGAGAAGTACTGTTAGGAGGAGCGTGTCTTTCCCAAGCGGCACTGGATGTATTTTTCATATTGTGAAAATGTTCTGGTACACCCCAAATCTACTGGTGAAGCGTTAGCACCTCTGTTTCATGGCCAGCTAGCATTTAAAGCACTATCTAGGCACATAGAGTGCTTCTTAGTTTAGAAAGTTGTAGTATATATATAGCTGTTAGACATGGTAACATCACTGCTTTCAAATGCAGCTGGACAATTATCACTTTTAAACCAAAAAATAGAAACAACCCATGCTAATGGCCTTTCAGTGATGCAGGTGTGATCCATGTGTTTGGTCTGAGTGTTGCCCCACAGATGTGAATTCAGGGCCCTCACAGAGGCAGAGCCAGCAGGATCCCGCTGGGTGCTGCAGTGGCTCGTTGCAGTGCTCAGGGTGTTGATCCAGGTGGTCAGCACAGCCTGGTGAGAGCCCATGAGGGGTGGGCACTGCCCCTGCAGCACTGCTGGACCCCCTTCCCCAGCAGGGAGCTGCAAGATTCTCCTACAAAACTCACCTTTTGACTGCTTGGCTTGAGCACTCTGTTTCATAAACACCCACTATAACTGGACAAAGTTATTTTTAAAGTATGTAAGAATGAATATTTTTTTAGCTAGATATTTTTTCTTAAAGCCACACTAACTACTGTATTTTTACCTTTTATATGTAAAGCTTGGCAATAGCTCTCAATGTATAATTTATTTGTTGGGTTTTTTATAAAACGAAGTGCACCCTCTTGCTTCTGTTTCACAACACTGGTGATGTATGAACTGTCTTAGGCACTGCACTGAGAACTGTATTGAAACTGTACATGGGAACAAGTAGATTTGTAGTCCACTCAACCCAGTCTTGAAATGTTTATACTGTAGTTTTGTCTTAAATATACCACATCAGTGCAAAAGTCTTGCAGAGTCATCTTTAAGCACCGCTGCGTTACGCTGGTACGGCAGTAAAAGGTGGGTCATGACGGGGCTTGTCATCAGTTAAAGCATAATTTAAGGTGGCACCTAAACTTGCAGGTAGATGCTAAAGAATGAAATGCCTTCTTTCCAACAGAGCTGAGATTGGCCGGGAGGAATATCAGGTGTCCAGTGGTTTTGAAAACCAAAGTACCGAGGCGTGCGCCCAGAGGGGAAGCTTGAGCTGCTGAGTTTGGTTCCACAGCGTGCAGGCCAGTTAACTGAGCAAACCCACTTTTATCTCCAACAAGGGACTGGTTTGTGTTTGAAGTACAGAATAGTACTAATGATTGTTTAAAGGAAAGGTTTTATTTCCAAACCCTGACTTTGGTGAAATGCTTAAGAAGGCAGCAAAGGACAACTAAACCATTTGATCATTTTCATTTCTCAACAATTCATAAAAGTATCAAAAGGAAGAGAAAAAAATTCCATCCAAATGACTAAGGTCATGGGAAGTAATTTCCCTTGTGGCACAATTTGTTGTGTAGGTCAAACTGCAGTCCCACTGATATGTCACTGAATGGTTCTTTAAATTCACTTATAACTCAAAACAATGAAACAGATTTTTTCTATTATTAATTGAAAAAAACCTCAGAATAGCTACAATTTAGAAGAAAATCTTTCTGCCACTCATGCATTTTAATGTTCAGAATCCAAATGAGTTTGTTGAGGTGTTTAAAGCTGATCGATTTGTTCTCTTAGATATGTAATTTATGATACAATAGCACATCTTGTGTCTCAGATGAGATTACCAAGAACACCGCATCCTGTTGCTTTTATTCCATGGACTGAATTACTGTGGGCATGTTAGATATGTGCAAGCTCCTCTGTTTTTCAGAGACATTCTAAAACAATCAAGCTTCAGTGGCAGCCCCTTCAGTCCATGCCCAGCCAAAAATGGTGTGTTTTGTTTTGTTTCTAAATATTTGTCACAAGCTGGAGTGATTCCATTCATTATTTCATGCAGGCCACCACCGAGCTTTCAGATGGCAGCAGCTTTTAGTCACTTGCTTGGGCCTGGGATGAATTCTCATTAACTGCTACAGTTATGGAGAAATATCGTCAGCACATGCACAAAGGTTCTTCTCTGAAGAAGAAGAAGAACCTTCTTCCTCTCTGAAAAGGTGACTGTGGTGTGCACACAGGAGTGACACCACTTGAGGTGCTCTGAGAGCCCTGTTGGTGTAGCTGATGGCGCTGGCTGAGTCTTGAAAGGGGAGATGACCCAGGAAATGTCATACAGTGGTATGAGCAAGGATTGTGTGCCTAGGTCCTGACAGTGGTTTTTGGGAGAGAACCTGAAATATGGGTCATGCCTGCTGAGAAGGGACTGAGGTGCCAGGCACTCTTGTGGACAACTGTGGGATGCACTCACTTTAAATCCCAAACCCCATCCCTTCCAGCTTGAGGTCACCCTTGTTTTTTAAAAACCTGGGAACGGGCCAGCAAGGGGAAAAAGAGCCTCCAGTGGCTTCAGCAAAGCTGCTGTAGCAGAGCACTCCACTTTCAGGATCTCTCTTCCCTTCCACGGCACTACTGGGGCCAACTGCCGCTCATCCTCCCGGAAGCAGGGCCTGAGCCCACACCTATCCAGGCACAGCCCCTCCCCAATCCCCTGCACACCTGGTGTCCCGTGCAGAGGCAGGAACAGAAGAGCCCTTATGGCATCAGGTCAGCCTGAGAGGTTTGGGATCTCAGGTGAAGAAGTGGTGCCCAAGGTGCTGGTGCAGCCACCTGACTTGGCACACGGGCAGAGGCCAGGGGAGGAAATGGGGAGATGGGCACACTCTGCAAGCTGCTTTTTCCTCCCCATGCCAAGGCATTGCCTTTGGCTGGCTCATGTCCCGCCTGCGTTGGCTCTGAGTAAATGTTAAACCCTTTGTGGGGCTGCCAAAGGGAAGAGAGTTTGAGGGGGGAGGAAGAGAGGAATGACAGAGGCTGGATGGCATTTTCCTGGGGCTCTTGCACATCCCCAGGATACCTCTACCTGCCAGGAGGCCTTCGCGTGACTTGGAAAAGTCACTGGTTTATTGTTGCCCTTTCCAGTTACATTTCCGTCTCTTGTCAATCCTTGATAAAAGCCTGTATGTTATGGCAGCTCTCAGGATAATGCCAAAACAGACATGTCAGCCAGCAAAAGGAAAACAAGCTGCTGATTTAAGATTGCAGTGCTCAGTACATGCTCAGCTCAGTTGCTGTATTGAAGTCCTTTCCAAACAAACCTCCTCAAACTGGGAAATTCTTGTTCTTGGAGCAGAAATGCAAAGCCTGGGCTGGCTGAAGTGCTAGGAGATGACTGGGGCTTGTGGGATCATGTTCCTTGTTAAGAAAGGTAAGTTCTTTGTTCAGTTTGAAAACACAAATACGTATTTTAGATTCATGAGAGTGGAGAAGAAGTGCACACACTGATAGGAAACAAAGCAGGCTTTATCTAAGTGGAAGAGTACAATCCTTTCTGTTTCCAAACAAGGGTCACAAATAACTCTTGTAGCTTTTTACGAATTCATCTATAATTTGCCCATTGAATTCATGTGACAGCTACTTGTGAGGAGATGATGACAAGTAAACATTCTCACTTGAAATCCTTTATTCCTATGAAACTTTTGAAAAGCAATCTTTTTCAAATGTTCAGAAGTATTAACCTATAGCTTCTAGTAGTTTCAGATAGCAGCATTTCTTACAGATGGCTGAAGTTTTGTCAGAGGGCCAGTATCTCAATAACTTCTATGGAAATAAATGCTTGGAACATTGGACTATATGATCTTTCAAAAAAAGTACTTTTTCTTTTCAGCAAAGGAAAGTCATACATGAACTCAAGATTTACTGGGATAGAGGGGAAATGTGAAATGACTGCTATCTGAGTTGACAAAACAGAGAGATGGGAGTTGGAAAAGCAGAAATCCCTTTGTGGCTAAAACAGGAATTACCAGTCAGAACAGCCCATGCTTTGTGCCCCTTCTGTCAAACCCTTCTCTTTCTGTCGCCCCCATCCCACCATGGGAAGTCAAACCCTTTTGATCCTGTGCTCAGTCATTAAAGCCAACGCTCACTTGGCAATTCCTTTGTTCTTGTCAATATAATGTACTTCCTCTGGTCTAAGGCTGCAGATGATTTTCAGGGAGCACTCATGGTCCATATACAATCCTTGAATATCTTCTAGATTTCACTTGCTAGTTTGTTCGGTTGATTTCTGTGTTGTTGTAAGGCTATTTATCTCATGTTGCAAATATATTGTGCAAAGAACACTCAAGAAAACAAAACCTTAAAAAACTTTAGAGAATGTTGCCATTAAGATTAATCTAATACTTCAAATGTGACCAGATTTCCCTCTAATGCCAGTGCAACATGAGCAAGCTTTGACCCTGAAATGGCAGCTGTGGAGCCAGTAGGGGTTACTTGCAGTTCAGATTTTGGAGGCAGCATCAGCCACTGCAATTTGAAAGGATGTGAACTGACCGGAAGAAAAGGAACAAAAAGAGCAGCATTCCAACAAGCTCTTCTCAGAAATCACAACTTACATGCAAGTTGTGACTTCAATATACGTTGGGTTTCGTTAACATTGTAAAAAATCTGTTCACAGCAAGTATGAGAAGGTTTAATTATTTTTTTCCCAAGCATGCTGATAGGAAGCTGAAGACAGTTGCAAGCAGTTGGTTTTCCACCTACTGCCGCGGTGGTGGAAATTTATTCTTTCACTTTGTAATCAAAGCCATCACAAGCTATCGAACTCCCATTTGCCTGAAGGAGATCTCGGCGAAGCTGGACAAAGGTTTGCCCCCAGTGAGCAGCAAGGTGCTGGTGTGGCTGCTGAGTTCATCCCCTGCGGTCACAGGGTCACCTCCCTCCTCTTCACCCACAACCTGAGCTGCAGCCAAAGTTTCTCTCTCTGAAGAGGGAAACAGAGGGAGAGACTTGTCCTTCAACAAAAGGCTTGTGTCTCTGTTTGGCTCTAATTCTGCCTCTGAGGTGGTCTGAAATGCACGGCAGCCCACTGGCTCCAGAGGCAAGCTGAAGGTTTTCATTTCAATGGCGTTGCTATCCTTGCTGCCCAACGTCCCGTCCCTGGGCCGCTGGTGGAAGTAGTTGCCAAAGCGAGTGTGCCGCGGGATGGGCACCAGCTGGCCATGGTCCTTCTGATTATTCTTCCAGTGGCTGGGGGATGTATTAGTGAAATCTGAGGTAGTTTGGAAATCAGCACCAATTCCTAAGATGCAGTGATACATCTTAGGAGGAAAGTTTGCAGTGCTACTAAGCTGCTTCCATGTCTGCGTATGGAAATGATACTTCCAGAGGTCATCGTTAGGACTGGAATTTGAAATCCCTCCGCCAAAAATCAGCATAGAGTCTTTGCAGACTATTGAAGCATGGCCTACCACTGGAGGAGGTCCTTGGCTAAGTGTAAGAGAAACCAGCAGTTAACAGAAGACCAACAAGAAACCTAACGCTGATTTTAGCCTCTATTTCCCTTTTGGCTCAGAAGAATGGCTGCTGAACAGCTGCATTGGGACATCAGAATTACACTGCTGACAGCTGCATCAGTGCATTGCCAACAGCTCTTCTGAGCAAAGCCAACTGGAGCCCCAGGGATGGCAGCAGCACCGTATCTTGATCTGAACAATTCCTACATCCGCCAAAAGGGCACTGCCTCCCCCTTTACCTGATGCAGTATCAAATGATAAGATTAATTCTTTCTTTCTCTGCTCATTTAGTGTAACACATAGAATAGTTTACCTTGTTCTGATGTTGGATCAGCTGCTGCTTACAAAGTCCCACTTCCAAAAGTCCTTCTGCTCACTCAGCCCCATCAGTCCTCCGAAGAGGTACATTCCAGTAGGATAAACCACTGTGGAATAGCCGTGCTGAGGTCCTGGACCGGTGTTCTGAGATGGGCTGGAAACACACAACCACTTTCCTGTATCTGAAAGAAAAATACCAGTTATAGATGGTTCAGATTTACTTGAGTGTTTGAGAAGGGATCTATTTCAAGAAGAAAGTAACTATTCAGTTGAAGAGTAAAGGTTTCTGCTCTAAGCTTATTTCAGTATGAGTTAAAAGCTTAAATTCTGACACTGAAAAAGTGCATTAAAAAAATCAGTTTTGAAATAAACTTTTAATGAAAATATCAGATGCTATATGACAGATGCCATGGAAATTTTATTTACAGAGCAGTTTTTCCTACGGCTTTGCCAATTCATTAACTCTGACACAGAAAGATACTTTCCTGGCTGTAAGAGGGGAAAAATCAGTCAACAAAAACTTCATTAATGTCTGTGCTTATTCTCCCTGAGAGGGAATGAAGGATGAGATAAACCCATCATTTGTTTCAAAATAATGACAGAATAGCCACCAGATAACAAAAGTTATCCATTTAAGAAGTCTCTGGGAATCATCTGGTTTGCAACACTAGATTGGTGATGAATATGCTAATGAAACCATCTCCTGAAAGGTTTGGCTCCCCATGGTCAGTCTGAGATCTGAGACTCAAAAGATGGCATTAATAGTCAGGGTCTCTGCTGCGCCTGAAAGTTTTTAGTAATCCTTGAAGAATTTGGTGAAGAGTGAACAAAACATTATCCCTGATTTTCAGCTCTAAAACTGGCAAATACTGTAAAACTGCTTCCAGTGTAATAGTCTAATTTCAGCCAGGTATTAATTGAATTTACAGAATTCATCACTAAATGCTGCTGAGCAACAGCCAAAACTAACTTACAGCATTTCTACTGATAAGAATTTTCTTAACAGGGCAAGCCAGACTCTCCTGCAGGGTTTTTTGGGGTTTTTTTTTACATTGGATCAAAACCTTAGCCTGTTTTTTTTAACTTACCAAAATGGAAAGTCCAAAATTCCTGCAAAATGCCTTTGATGCATCATATATCCCCCAAAGATGTACATGCTGGAATGGTACACTACTGCACTGTGACCTCTTCTGTGAGCTGGTGCCAAGCTCTAAAACAGTTTAAGACAAAAGCTTGTTAAGTCATCAGTAGCAATGTCTGTCTTTGAAATACACCTTTTTTTTCCCCCCACAAATGAACCGGCAGTCCCAAACTTTCTCGTAAAACTGAACACAGGTAACCAGAGTAGTAACTCTGACATATCTTAATAATTTTTTGTGTGTAATTTCAAGGTGTAGAAACATTTTGAGGATGAAGTTTCCGTAGCAAAAAATGAACGATTCTTTACATGTAGTGATATAAAACCAAGCTCAAAAGAGCAAGACATAAATGCTTCCACTCCGGTTTCAATTAGAAGTGGCAGTAACTTGGTGAGTCCACGTGTTCAGACTGAAGAAATGAAAAATGCTGCAGCACTTCACATTCCAAAATGTATTAGTGTGACTGCCAATCTGTTTTCACAACCCTACTTTTAAAAGCACAGGCTTCACGTATGGTTGCAATATTCCATTTAAAATTAGTATTCTTGATAAGGATTTCAGAAAAACATAAGCAGCAGCAGAGGAGAGGACTTAACTTCTTATATAGGACTTAAAATTTAAGAGCAGTATTTTTAAACACTGTTTTGAAGAAGGAAAAAGCCTTAGTTATTGAAAGTGCAAAGAAATAAAGTATAGCCACATGTCTCTGAAGAGATGAGATTGGAACTGTTTGGGGGAACATATTTCAAAGCAATCTGTTTAATCAACAAAGCAACAGGCATTTGATTCACACATTCCCCACTTCCTGGCTCCTTACCTCCTTCTCTGCTGGTACGTTACGGCACTCTGTCCATCTTGTGGAATCTAGGGGATTGATTTAATAAAGCGCAGTTTAGTTCCTGGACCACAAGAGGACACTCCTCCAACAGTAATTTTTCAAATTACAGATCTAATTTTCAAGTAAGTCTCATCCTGGCGTTTTCTACTGACAAGGCTGAAGAAATCTGCTCCCTGCTAAGACATCAGCACCAAGAGACTCGCAGGAGACGCAGTCAGAGTAATTTTCCTGTATCCTTATATGATATTGAATCACAGAGGTACCATACTGTATTCCTGTTTCCTATAAATTTCACAATGCAGAAATAACCTGTGATTTTCAGCATTTTCTGAACTAGCAGGACTCCCAGATTTCCTGATGGATGTATGACTTCTTCTACTTATCCTTATGACAACTGCATTATTCTTTCTTGTTCTTTTTCATAGACCCCTTAAGGGTAGCCCCCAAATAACAGTCAGAAATCACAGATCTGTGATCACCATGAAAGAGAGGAAATACCAGGTACCAGCACCAGAGGTAGAATGAGAAAGCAGTGCAAGCTTGCATTACTCAAAGCTATACTTGCCAAAGGATTTTAAATAATAACTATGAAAAAGCTAAACACGCACCCATTTTGAATACCTCATTCCCAATTTGCACTGATAAATACTGTGAGTAATAAGATGCTTTCTCCTTTAAAATATGTTCTATCTGAGGCTCTCTCTTCTTCCAGCAGGCATCTCAGACAAATGGTGGAAAACACAAATGAAGGATGAAAAAAAACCCATTGATTTAAGATTACGGAGTGAAGTAGCAAAAGAAGCCAGGAAACTTAAATTAAATCTTGGTCTGGTCACAAGATTTACTAGCTGAAAAAGAGCTCAGCATCTCTCTCTTTGCTCCTCCATCTGACATCAAAATAAGCAGCCATTGCTATATGCAGGATTTCCAAAGGGAGAACACAATCATGTATGACATTGCTGTTAAATTCAAATGCTACCCTGCTTTTGTTAGAATACACACTTAAAACATCAAAAATGTTTGTCCTTAGCAGAAGAAAACCTGCATTATAAAATGTTGATGGTAGTTTCCCATCTTCTTATTTAATTATACTTGATTTTTCCTGTTCCAGCTTATGTGTTTCTTCAGTAAAATTACAAAATACTTCACTAATCTGCTTTTGCCCATAATAAAACAAAGAGCTTGGTTTTTAAAATTAATGTAACATTAAAAAAAATAAATACTATATGAATTATTAGTATTTATGATCAAATTGTAAACTTCAGAAGGAGAGGGGAGGAATGGAAATTCTGATACGTTAAAATACATAAAACTTTCCCATTCAGTTCTCTAATTGAAGTAAGATCTGACCTTTTGATAGTTTAAACAGCGTAATTTTAGGGGGGAAATGTGCACACAGTTTCACACACATAACATCTTGTAAAGCTTGGGGAAAGGCTATGCTACAAGCAGCAGAAAACAGTTTGGTTCTTATTGTTAATTAGTATCTATGGACTTGGAATGTCCCACGGAAAAAACTGGTTATTGTGTATCATACCAATGTCATATGTCCAGAGAGGAGTTTTTACTTGTGTGAAAGCAAATCCACCATCCCACCAAAAATATACATGTTGCCCTGCAAAATGAAAAATACTTGTCACTGAAAATAATTTAAAAAACAATTCCTAAATGAAAAGGCTGCTATTGCCAAAATATAATTAACAGTAATGTGTATGATGATCTGTTAACAATTAAAGAGGCAATCCCATAAAGCCACCAACTTTTAATTATGTCTTTATTCTCTCCAGTGAAACCCTGATGAACATTCTGCTGTTTTAATGGGGACAGCATTCCAGAACCACTTACTTCCTTGTCAGTCTGGGACAGCTTCAGGGATGTGGATCTGGAGCTCTCTGAGGTAATATTAGATTATGCATTTTTATAGAAAAATTTCATTGCATTGCAGCTCCTGATATCCTAAATTCTGTTTTCCCCTCACAGGCCAGGCTGTAATTCTTATTTGCCTTCACTTCCCCGTCCCTCTTCTATGCAAGCTCTTAAGTGAATGTTTTTATGCCATAGCTGATCATGCAAATGAATTCAGAGCAACTGTTACAACTGTACAGTTAAGTCAAAGAATGTGCTGCCAAGGTCTTTATCTTGTATTACTGTTACATACTGAGCACTGACTGAAGAAATTACTGTCACTTTATTCAGAAAGATTCCAAAACATTGGTACAGCTACATCCAGAACTGCACCAATACAAAAATATTTTCTGGGTATGGTATTTCAGTACATAATAATCTATGGTATTTTATTGCATTGCATAGTAGGAAATAAAATGTGAGGATATGGATAAGATAAATCTTGGTCTACTACCTTATAAGCCACCACTGAATGTTCTTCCAATTCTTCTGGGCCATCTCCTGAGCAATCCAGCATTTCCCATTCATTTTTCACTATAAACCAAAGCTGAAGGTAAGTGGTGCACTCAACATAAACATTAGACAAAAGGTGAAAAGATGGGCATTGAATGTGGCTGTGCTGTCAGTTCAATGAGGAAAATGAAGTGGTTTGTCCTCTTTCCTCTCTGTTAGTTCAGAAGAAGTTCCCAAAAATTAAATATATGCATTTTTCTATTTAGCTAATTTGAATGCAATAGAAATTGATCTTGTTACTGCTTGTAGTTTAATTGTTACTTTCATCAAAACTCAACAAGTCCATGATAATGAAATCCAGGAAAATTCTAATTTATTTCAGTAACAAAAACTGTGCAAGAAGACCACATATAAAGTAAAAAAAAAAAAAAAGTCATACTTGATAGGGCATTGTTAATATAAACCTACAAGATATTGTATTCGTATGTTCCCCTTTGTGCACTTTTACAGGCATAAACTATTCGTGCATGAGAGAGTCAGGAGAGCTCTTTGATATCCCTTGCTAGAACCAGGATATTTTAAATGACTCAGTATTTCTGGTCTTGAAAAACAAACAAACAAACAAAAAGAACTGAACTAAAATCTAAACTTTCTGGGACACTTGCAGCAGGAGCAAACACACATCATCTGCCCAATGAACAAAATGCAGTTTATCCATATTTTTTATGGAGATACTTTAAGGGGATAATCTGATAACTATGGAATATCCCCAATGTCATGATGACTGGATGTAGAATCTCTAATCCTGACATACAGGTGAAGGGACCAACTCACCGATGTTGTATCACCAAAAATCCCTCGGGCTGGTCATGTTCCACCCTCCATGGAGATAAACAAACCCTCTGCAAAGGACACAGGGTGTTTATATCCATTGCAGGGACTGGGCTTCTGCTGGGGGGCAGATTTCCAGCCACAGTGTTCAGCTTTTCCTTTCATGCTGACAACTAGGATCTTATCCAAAGATTAACTTGCAAAGGGCAGCCATGTCAGAGGAGGGTCCCAAAACATCAGGGACGGGGCTTAAACCCTGTTTGGTCTGCAAAAAGACAAAAGGTGGTTTAAGGTTAAAAAAAAAAAAAAAAAAAAAAAAAAAAAAAAAAAAAAAAAAAAAAAAAAAAAAAAAAAAAAAAAAAAAAAAAAAAAAAAAAAAGGCGCAGAAAGATAAGAAAAAAAAAAGAAGTCTCTACCTTGTGATAAAATATTACCGTGTTTTCAGTTCCATCAAAAGCAACATGACAACTAACTAATACACTAACTTATGTAAAGCATCTGAAATTCTGACTCTCAGAGTCTTATATCAGTGAAGCTGGGACAGGAATATTCCTGGAGCTGAAAGTTTTCCAAAGAATATCGGTGAGCTGAAGTGATAAGCTCCAACACTCTACATTCATAATATGGTAGAAACCAAGGCTTGGTCTTTTTTCACTACTAAAATATTTAAAACAAACATGTCCTTAAAAAAAAGAAATTGAAAGAGTGAATATTACAGATGAAAGTAATGCATTAGCAGTTGTCCAGAATTTGTGTAGACTTTCATCTCTAAGCCTGCTGAAATGAGGATGGATCTGGAAAAATGACGGTAGCCTTTCCCATGCCACAAGATGTCACTGTGTTCTGTGAAGACACAAATACCAGGAAAACGTTTCTCTATTAGTCATAAAGTAACAGCTCACCATAATGATCACGCAGCAAATCCATTCTTTTGGTTGAAGATTACTTCCAGGGTAAATGTGAAAAATCTATGACCACTTGGAGCAATTATTTCTAAAGAAATTAATTTTAAAAACCCAAACAAGCAACACAGCAGAAATACCAAATTTACTCTAGATGTACAGCAATAAAACCATTTGCATCCACAGAGAACTTTTGTGTCAGCTGCTGCCCATGGCCTTACAGAGCAAAGCAGTGGCAAAGGCTGGAAATTTTCCTGGCAAATCCAGCAATGACCACGGGAGGTAAAAACGAAGCCCTCTTCTTCTGATCCGCATGCAAGTGTTTTTACTAGACACTTCACCACAGTGTGACTTCAGACATATGAACTGTGCCTTGAAGTTCATTGTGTAAAGCTATATTTAGCCACACATATGCCAGGGAAGGCCAACATAAGCCCTGCTCACCCTGTGTGCATCTGATTTCAGGGAAGGGGGTGGAGGATAGAAAGTATCTACATCTCCATCGAAAGTTGCCGTGTTATAAAAAAGAATGAGAGATGTTCTCTTGGAGTCAAAGATGAATGAGCAGTTAAATACAAAAGAAAAAAAAAGCTATAAAATATTTCCGTAGAAGTGTTCATATGTTCACAAACGTGCTGAGTAACCGCTACGTCACCCTTTATTTATTTTTCTATGTAATTCTATGATAAGCCTTCCTTTCTATTTTTCTCTTGGAATCCTGCATGTCTTCTGTTTCTCTGCTGCACCGAAAGCAACATTTTTGTTTTACAGAGTTTTCAGTCCTCTGCCTCTATACCAACACCCCTTGTTTGGAGGGGATTATGTATCAAGCAGCACAACAGCATACCCCCTTCTTCAAATGTTTTCTCCTGTGTTCAAGTATTCCCTCATTTCTGAAAGCCTGGATTTGTCCCAGGCAAATTCACAAGCTATCCTTCCCTCCATCCATAACAACCATCTCCTTCCTCGAGGCTGTAGCAGATGAGCACTGGCAGATCAACCCCAACGTTACTGCCCCCCGTTTGCTGCTCCACCAGGTGTAGAGGCAAGGTGTGTATCCAAAACTCAGCCACTCCAGTTCACAGCTGCACTGCACAGTGCCCACCTGGGAAGTACCTGACAGCAAAGCGACAACATAAAATCTGGGGGGAAAGAAAGAAGACCTTTACACTATATTCTACCTGCTTAAATGGTAATTTACCTAATGGTAATTTGTGAGTCCAGAGCAAGTTGTACTTAATTTGAGGAAAAACAAAGATTGCAGTAAAACAAGCCAATACAGAAGATAGTCATATTTCATATTAATATGAAATTAATGTATCTAAGTTCATTTATCATCCAATTTATCTCTGAAATTTACCATTTGTAAGACTGGAATGTGTTCAGTGACAAAAAGATGCTAGAAATCTCTTGCAACACTTTTTGGCAAGATTAACTACTCAATTTTTATTGTAAGCAGTAAGTATTGTACGGTAAAAACTGAAGTCTCTTCTTTGTATTTTCTCTGAAGGGACACAAAGATGGGCAGCATTTACAAACGTGTGCATTTCTCATTTCCAGGAGAATTAGCAGCTATGAAGTAGTGACACATTACAGGTATGTAAGTCCATAATGCTTTCTGGCATGAAATTGAAAAGGCAAAAGCAGCTGAAGTCATGAAACACAGATTCTCTCCCTAACTCTGCCAAGCTTCTGTGTAACCACAGCCAATTCATTTACTTCCAAAGCTAAACGGGGACAGTCACTTCCTTAGTACAACACTTCAAATTTGCTGATGCAGTGCTGTGTGACAGTGTCAAGGTATTACTATTATTGATATAATTTACTGTGAAAAAGTTGATAGGTTATTAATACTTTACAAAGGTAAAATAGGCTTGTCCCCTCGAGGGTTTTTTTTCTCAGCTATAAAGCATTATCCCTCTTCCTACATACTTCTGCTTGTTATTGTTCCTATAAACCTTGCCTTCTATTATACAAACATTCGGAGAAGAAGACAGCCCTGATTTCCTACAGTAGATTAGCAACAAAATCCTGTCTAGTTGTTTATCTACCCCAGCTGAACTCCGTGCAAGGCAGGAGAGCTGGATGGAATAACAAAAGGCCGATCTGAGATGAACTGAATGTGCATCTCCTCCCAGTCACACCTTTTGAGCATCGACTGACCCTTGGGAATTGCAACCATTTACCCTCAGCTAAAGCGTTCTTGGCAGCAGACCTGCACTCACTAACACTCAGTTAACAAACTACTTCATTTCAGGGTCGGGGAAAAAACAACACAATCTTGCCTTTCATCACTGTTATTTTAAATTGCAAACTTGACTCCTGGATTGCCTTTCTATAGAACCAGGCTCACCAGAGTTCATCTACTGTCAACCTCAGCCCCATTTCTGAAGGAAAAGGGCTACTCTTCTGAGAACAATGTCACCAGGGATGTCCTCTGTGTCGTGCAACACTGACCTCAGCTTCAACTTGCTACAAAATCAGTTATCCAATAGGAAGCTCTAACTTCAGCAGAATTAAAAAAAAAAAAAAAAAAAAAAAGATAACTCAGAACATTTTTATCCAACAATTTTTCCCCCCCAAAACAGCTGTAGCACACACAAAAATGTCTGCTGCTCTGCAAACTCTTCTGCCATTTCATTCTAAAAATAGCTCGTGTGCAATCAATCCCAATTGTTAAAGGGCTGGAGGAGCTGTGAGTGGAGGGCCTGGAGAGCTGCAATTAGCACGGTAACTATAGCACTGAGTGCATATCAATTAATGGCGCCCCACTACTGTTTCATAATACAAATAATTCAGGAAATGCAGCAAGACAGGAATTACATCAGGAAATGTAGTTTATATGATCATTATATAATTATTTATATTTCTGTAAGATGTGGTTTCTCAGACAAATGATTTATTTATTTAAAGTATTGCTTAAATAGATCTTCATTAAAGCTTTTTTCTGCCTCAACCCCCTGATTCATTTCCATCTGTTTTCAATATACTCAGAAAGGTCTCGTTTTTAAAACGATTGAGCCTTCTTGAAATATAATGAGATAAGAAACCACTCATATTGGGGTAGGGAAAAAATAGGAAATCTTTTTCTGTTTGGGGGATTTTTTTGTTAATGACCCAGTTTTCTGAACTCAAGCCTAGAACCTCTCCGTGCATTTTCTTACTGGGCAACTGTATGTTTTACTGCTCTTCAAAAATACTAACAGATCCTCCTGTTTGTACTTATCATAGAAACCTTTGCTGTGGTGCTTTTATTGTAATGCTTGTTCCATTAGGACTGCTTGCATGAATGAGAAAACTTCAGGACTTGCAAGGCAGTTACAAAGTTTTAAAAACACACTCAACTCGTTTAGAGTAGTTTAAGAGATCCAGGCTTTCTTTCAGTGTATCATGTTTACTTGCAATGCTTTTACCATAAGTGTGATAAATTTTAGTATCCTCAGGTTTGCTATTTTATTATTTCCTAAACTCAAGATGCTCTGAACTATTTCTAGGCTGGAGGTTTGTTGTTTTGTTTTGTTTTTTGGGGGGGTTCAATTTGGTTTGGTTTTTTTTTTTTCAAAACACAGGAACTAATTTTCAGAGAAGCTCAGCTTCAGAGTTTCAACCCAAAAGTCTGAATGGCTGTAAGACCACAGGGTGTCTGTAATATTTCTGTATTAGGATTCTGAATTGAAATAAGGGCCTGGCTTTGCTATGTGTTGTAAAAAAATGCAGTTATTACATGTCTGAGCATTGAAGACAAAAGGAAGGAGATAGAAAGCAGTATTGCTTGTTACAGGGAGAAGCTGAAGGACAGAAAGAAGGTTTGTAAAATGACAAATCAAAGCAGGGGACGTGGCTCCATCCCAGTTTCAGGGTTCAGAAAAATTACAGTTACTTTCAAGTAAAACAGTAACAACCCTGCTGTCTGTATAAAGATTAGAGTGGAGATATTAAAAATTTACAGAAAAACTGCGAGGCTTTTATGTTGAATAGCTTTAAGTTGAATTTTAACAATTTTAAGGTAGTATTTGCAAACATTATCACTGCTATATTTAGTGCTTCAAAATGCTTTTTGAAGTGAGCAGGTATTTTAAAGGGTGTGGCTCTGCTGAAACAGCCACATATAATTACAGTTTCTATGTACTGTAAACCTCTGTATGTAACTGCTACTTCTGGAGTCCCACCGAGGGCACAGGCACCTTCACTGCAAAACAGACCAGAGTATCTCAGATCTCTCCCCGAGAAAAGCTCACTGCCTGTTTCTGGAGCTCTGCAGGCAAGGTACTGCATTTCTTTAATTCAGATCACATTAATGTTAAAGCTCTAATTTTAAAACTCATAATAAATTTATATGTTTGCATATAATTCCAAAATTAAATTTTGCAAATTGACATTAATATATTGTATTTTGGTTTTTTTCTAGAAGCTTTCAGCCACAAAAGAAAATCCTTTGCAGTCAGCAGTGCTGTGTAGCAGTACTTCATCTCTACTACAGAGTGAGTTCTTTAGTAGTAATAAATTAACTTATTAAATAAAGAAGTATAAATATATCCAGTTTTATTTTCTATATGCTAGGTATATTTCTAATTTTTAATGAAACAAATACAAAAATACAAACTTGGAAAAATACAGTAAACATTGCATCTATTTCCCAAATATGGCGGAGAAGGTAGTATCTGGAAAAAAGAAATTCAGTATTTAAAATATTTCTGGGATTATTACATTTTTATATACACCTCTAGTATATTAATCAAAAAATTACCTTTGCCACTGTATTGAAATATATTTTATGGTATAGACAAAATTAAATACATCTATACCACTTTAGTTTCCTTAGTAAAGTAAAATTTCAGTTGTTGTTGGGATTTTTTGTTTGTTTTGTTTAATTTATTTAGAATGAGGCTTTTTTATAAATGAAAATAAGAATATATAGTTTTGATTAGTAGATTTTCTCAGGTAATCTGTTAATTATGATTTCCATCACTGTAATTAATCATTTGACTGCAATTCAATTTTGAATGAAGTTTCTGAGAAAGAGCTTCCCTAAATACACATCCATAGGTGGCACAAGTATAGCATGTTATGGATATACAAATCCAGGGCACCAGCCATGCCTGATCAAAAGTTCATGCTGATAATCAAAGACTCTGTGTGTGGGGGGGGGGTGCTTGGTCCTTATTAGACTTCAGGAATCTAATCTGCTTTTCAGATCTTATTTAGGATCCTGTTTAGGATCCTGCATCCCTAGGCAGAAGTCAGTCTCTGTTGTGGTCTCACCACGTAGCTGGGATGGACACCCTGACTGTAAAGTGTTCCTGCAGGAAGGTGGCTCCTCAGGAGTTACTCAGGAGTCTGAATATGAAGGAGACAAACAGGTGATTTTTCATGCTCTAGATATGACAGAGGGAGGAAATACAGTTCCTAGTTCTCGCACTTTAAGATAAAAGAAATGAGAAACTCCTGCCATGATCATAGCGCAGTCTCAAGATGTAGTTGGCCTTTTACCCTTTCCTTGGAAGTAATTTGTCCTGTCACCACTGGAACAGGTCATTTCAATACAGGGGTCATCACCCCTTCCCCTGGAAATAGCAGTTTTCAGTGTTCCTAGAAGGCATCATTTGGGGCTTTCACAAAAACTAACCAGCTGGGTTCTTTCAAGATCCAGTAGGCAGATGCCCTGGAGATTGAATGTAATAAATCTGTCCTTAGGTGTGACTGAATGCATCTTCTTGACAGCTTGTGACCTGCTGCTGAAGCAACTTCAAAATACTTTATTTCCTAAGGGAGACTCTACTCATAGTAATGCACAAAATTTTCTAGGTTAGGAAGAAAGACTCTGGTTGACAAAAGGAATCAGTGGCTGCCCAGCCTGCCTTCTCTCCTCTGACACAAATTAGGATACCCAAGTATATACTTGACAGCTGAGAGTATATCAGTGGAAAGCTATTATCTCCCATTAAAAG